TCTTGTATCTGAGAGAAAGGAGAAGAAATTAAAAAGCAGATMTGGAAARCAAGTCAAAGAAGTTAGCCAGTCAAGTGAATCTGAAAAAGAAGACAGTAACAGCTCAGATTCAGATTTTGAAATGTCAGAGATCAAACAGGCAATGGCAATGCTGACTAAAGCATTCCAGAAGAAATTCTCAAAAAGGCCACACTCGAACAACCAGAGATTCTCGTCAGGTTCAAAATATRAATACAAAGACAAATTTGGCGAGAAGAAGAAATATGAAGAAAAGAGGTTCGAGAAGAAGTATGAGAAAAAACCGGAAGAAAAGAAGAAATTTACCAAAGGTGTAGCTGATGAGAACACTAAGTGTTACAATTATGGTAAGTTAGGCCACTTTGCTRTAAACTGTAGGAAGCTGGTAAATCGAGATACCCACTACTACAAGAATAAATTTCTTCTGTCCAAATAAAGAGATGCCGGGAAAGCACTTATGGCTGAGGATGAACACTGGTTGAATCTGACTGATGAAGAAGAAGAAACTGAAGCTGTTGCACATGTGTGCTTGATGGCTAGAACATATAACTGTTCAGGTGAAGAAGAAGAACAGACTACAGAAATGAATGAAGAGGTATTGGATCAATCATGCATTAAACAGATGCAAAAGATGATGCTCAAAATTCAAATTTTCCAGCAAGAAGTAAAATCAAAAAAATTGCGTTCAAATAATTTTGAAGATCAATTTAAAACGCAAAAAGAAAAATATGTCAAATTATATATTGAAAATGTTGGAAACTTGAATTGGGCTAAGTCTTTGTTATCTGAGTCCAAATTATTTGATGAAAAATCCAATGTCTTAAAAACCGAATTATCTTATTTGAAGGAAAAAYATAAATCATTAGAATTAGTTAATGAAGAAAAGATTGTTAAAATAAGTAAGCTTGAACTTCAAATAATTCAGTTAAATAAAACTCTGAAGGCTAAAGAAGAAATTTTATATAAAAGAGGACAAACTGATCAAACCATTTTTCTAAACAAACCATCTGAAACGAGATATTTTAACCCTCAGGAAGGCTGCGGTATAAAAATCGAATTTTTTTAGAAAAAGCTTTACGTTATGCCCCGACCTTATATAATTTTGAATATCTTTATTGTGGTCCCGAGTATTCGGTAAAATTTACAAAATCTTCTGACGAGGTCGAACAACAAGAAGATTATAATCGTCAAAGAAAAGACAAAATGCAGATTCCGTTTGATTATTCAAATATAAATGAAAGTTATAAAAATCAAGACTCTGCAGTTTCAACAGATTATTTCCATAGCTATTCAAARGCAGAGCTTGAAGCAAAACCAGCTGAACCAAAGCTTTACACTCCTACTCTAATTTTAGAAAAATAAGTGGTTCAGTTGGAAAAGATTTTAACTGAAGAAAGACTTTCATTTAATAAACAAAAACAAGAATTTTTAGATAAAATTGAATATTTACAAAATTCTATAATAAAAACGGAACATGTTGAGTCTGAATATTTTTCGTGCGAAAAATCTTTGAGTGAAGCCAMTGACTCAGAAGAAATAAATGTTGTTAATGAAGAAATTAATTTTTCAAATATCTTAAATTCAGATGTTTGCTTAGATAATGAAATTGATAAGTTTGATTTTTCAAATAATTTACCCAGTCATGAAAATTTCACTGTTAAAAACAATATGACTGAGGATTCTGATTTAGCTTCAGATTTTGAAAAGAATTTTAACCAAAAACCTATTTCTGAGGATGTTTATTATAAAAAGTATAAAACCAAAAAGAATTCAAGGAAACAAAAGAAGCTTACTAAGAAAAAGAAAGTTCGACGTTCAAGTAAACCTGATAATTTTCTTTTTCCTTTTTCAGATAATGCGTTGAAGTTTAAGACTTATTGGAGAGTAAAAGAAGAAGATAAATCATCTACTCAACTGAAGAAGAATAATTTTACTAAATCTGTATTAAATGATTCGACATTGAATAGTTCTGTAATAAGATATTCAGTAGATGAATTATTTGATATTGGAAATTGTAAAAATAGTTGTTCTCCGAGTAGAGTAAATGAATTACTTAAGTCTTTTACTTCCTTTAGACCATATCATTTCATGCATTCTGTGATATCTTCTTTATCTAAAGATCTGATGTTTAAAGAACGTTGGTTCGGTATGTATAGTATACCGCCAATGAAATATGTGCTTAAAGGTCCAAAACTAAAATGGGTACTAAAACCCAATTGATTCATTTTTGCAGGTTAACCGGCATGTGTGGTTCTTAGACTCTGGATGTTCTAAGCACATGACTGGTAGAAAGAGTTATTATCGAACTTTGTTGAATCTTTTGGAGGTACAGTAAGATTTGGAAACAACCAATACGCGCCTATCCTTGGATATGGTGACRTAATTTCTGGGAATTTAACCATTAAGAAAGTGTCGTTTGTCGAAGGACWTGGACATAATTTGTTTAGCATAGGTCAATTTTGTGATAAAARTCTAGAAGTCTGTTTTAAAGCTAACCAATGCAGCATCCGAACTACTGATGGTAAGGAGCTCTTAGCTAGATTCAGAAGATCTAAGCTCTACACGATTGACCTATCAAATACACAAGTGGATACTGATGTCCGCTTGATATCCAAGGCCTCTTTGAAGGAAAATCTGTTATGGCATCGATGACTTTCACACTTGAATTTCAAGAATCTAAACAAGTTGGTTTGTGACAACTTGGTCAAAGGAATCCCAGAACTGAAGTTTCATAAAGATCATGTATGCGGTGCATGTGAGATGAGTAAACTGAATAAAGCTTCTCATAAGCTAAAGACAGAGTTCAATACCGAACATCATCTACATCTTCTTCATATGGATCTTTGCGGTCCTATGAGAATTCAAAGCATCAATGATAAAAAGTATGTGCTGGTCATAGTCGATGACTATTCCAGATATCTGGGTTCACTTTCTGCGGTCTAAGGATGAATCAGCCGAGACAATTATTTCTTTCTGGAAGACAGTTCAAAATAATCCGCAACTTCAAGTTTTGAAAATCATAACAGACAATGGAACTAAATTCAAGAACAAAACACTCGGTTCATATCTTGAATCTATTGGTATTTCACATACATTTTCGGCAGCCCGGACACCACAACAGAATGGTGTTGTTGAACGAAAGAACATAACGTTGGTGGAAGCGACACGGACATTGCTTACATGTTCCAGCCTTCCATTTTTCTTATGGGCTGAAGCAGTAGCGACTGCTTGTTTTACCCGAAACCGCTCTCTTGTAAACAAAAGGTTTGGTAAAACTCCGTATGAAATAATAAATAAAAGAATACCTAACATCAATTTCTTTCGAGTTTTTAGATGTAGATGCTTCATTCTAAATGACAAAGAGGACAGAGGGAAGTTCGCTGCTAAAGCTGATGAAGCAGTTTTTGTTAGATACTCGAAGACATCAGCTGCATACAAGGTCTACAATAAACGGACCAAAATCATCAATGAAAGCGTGAATATATCTTTTGATGAAGTCATTGAAGTGGCTTCTGAACAATTCAGTTTAGGACCCAAACTTATAATTAACACTTCGCGGAAAGCTGATCAACCTGAGACTTCTAACTCTGATAAAGCTGATTTAGATTTTTTATTTGAACAATTTTATGAAAAATATTTTGATAATAAACCTAATCAGTCTATTGTTTTGATCAGGAAAATTCAACTGAACAACAGTTATCGGGTCCATCTCCTGATGTGCCTGTAACTGAAACAGAAGAGGAAACAGAAGAAGCCAATGAAGAAATAGAAATGGAGAATCCGAACAATCCCGTTCAGTGTGAAGAGGGTGAAACTTCTGAAGTGCAAGAGGTGTTAGCTGAACAAATTGATAATAATCCACCTCAAT